GAGAGAGAGAGAGAAGAGAGGAGGCTGAATGGCAAAAATGGAATATGGGTCGAATTGTGGCCGCGATCTATTTCGCGGATGAAATGCTTTTTTTTTATTTATTTAATATTTTTCCTGGAAAGATCGCAACAAAATCTACGAGCACTCCAATTTTCAGCTTTTTCCATGAATTCTTCTGAGCGTGAAAAATCACTGAAGTTGGGATACTTTTTTCATTGGCCCACACATGGTTGAGTGGCAAAAATGGAAATGTGCCCGATCGGTGCGGCAATTATTTCGTCCTGGAAAGACCACGACCTAATCTACGGATTCTCAAATTTTCAGATTTTTTTGTGAGTTTCTCAAATTTTCATATTTTTTTGTGAGTTTCTCAAATTTTCAGATTTTTTTGCGAGTTCCTCTGAGCACAAAAAATCGCAAAAGTTGCCTCTTGCACCGGACGCCGGTTTCATTGTGCCTTCCTGCGTCCTCCCAGCGTTGACCTCCCTGTTTTGAGAAGAACGGCCTGAACGCCTGGGCCTGAGGGCCCTTTTGCAGTTCACATGCAAGGGAGGACCGGTCCTCCAATTTTGCCACCGCGTCGGTTCTAAGCACGATAGCTGTAGGTAGTCCGTAAAAACATGGTGGACCGGTCCCCCAACAACTTTCACCCTGTTAGAACCCACTCATGCGCCGGTCCTCCGCCACTGAAAATGTGCCACCTTGACAGGGACGCCGAAGCCTACTATACCGCAGCCTTAGGGCTGCGAACTGATAATGAGTTCGTGTATCAAATAGTAGAGCTACCCAGGAACACACACACCTGCGGAAAGGCCTGCGGAAAGCCTGGGAAAGGCATACCGTTTGGCACCGAGGGCTTTTTCAGACCCCACAGGCTGTAGGTTTAGTCCCAGATGTCAATATGGTGAAATCCTCGCAGGTGAACCTTGAACCACCAGAACTTGGCCCAGCTATAGGCCGCGGAAAAACAAATAGAGTAGAAACATTTCTAGTCGTATGAATCTGGACGCTCCTGTAGTGGCCAGTACATTTCCTAAAATTGTGGCTCGATAATGGGCACAATTTTTTTTCAGTGGTGGTTTAAACCACCAGTACTTGGCCCAGCTATTGATGCCGAGCCTAAATATGCCCTGCGCGCCAAGCTTTGCCGAGCCTGGAAGGGGCGGGAACCGGTAGGGGGCATTTTGTGGTTGGCACAGGTACCGCCCCTTGTGCTGGACCTGCAACCAGCAGCTGGTACGAAACGGGGTAGCTGTTTTCACTCGTACATTGGCCCACGCCGGCCACAAGTGAGAAACGGCCAACTAACTTCTGCCAAAAAGAGAAAAAAACAACTAAAAAAGGCAAGAAGGGTGCTCTCAGCTCTGTCAGAGGCCCGCCTCTCACGGTGGGCAGAAGGAAGTGCTCTGTGGCGACTCTCGAAACGTGAAGGCATGAGACCGAATCCTCCAATGGAATATGAAAAGATACATTTTCGGTTTTTTAGCAGTCCTGTAGTAGTGTAGAGAGACACAACCGAGCTGGCCCTTCGTCTGCCCGCCTGCCCGGCGCTCTGGCAACACTCAAGGGCGTTATCTCACTCCGTTTGGCCGCCAAGTGGCGGGTACGACTTTGTTTTTTGGGAAAAGTTGTCTGGCGCCCCTGTATTTTCAATTTATTTGCATCGCGCCCCTCCGACATGCAAAATACCCTGCCGCGCCCCTCTGACCAGTAGTGAAATGTTTCATAAACCCCTGGTGTCGTTTGGGCCTCACATTGTTTTGTAGTGCCCCTACCGGTACCCACGGCAAATTTGTGTCATGCCCCTACCGGATAGCCATTGTGAAAATTTCCCATATGCCCCTACCGGTACCGTCAATCTGTTCACTGTGCCCCTGTCGCCGTTGGAGGCACTCAGGATCAACCTGACC